CTTTAAAGCTAGAGTATTACATGAATCGTGCCTTTGGGGTGATTGGGACCCTAATGGATTCTCTTGAAATTTGGAAAATAAAGTATACTCATGTGAAGTGGGAATGGTGAATTACAAAAAAAAGTATATATTTACTTTGTTTGCATACCAGTCCCTTGGGTACCAATAGTCCAAGGGAATTTCAGCATCAAAATTTTAGAGTTTAGAATTATGTGTTAGCCCTGATGTTTTGCAGATAACACCCGTTCTTTTTAGGATAAATTACACTAAACCTCGAAGAACTTTTGACTTTTTGCAGTAAACTCCAATAACTTTCTAAACTAACAATAACCTACTACATTGGGACAACAACCCGCCCCCCGCCCCCGCCAAAAAAAAAAAAATATAATAATAATAAACGCCAACACACAAAAAAAAAATTGGAATTGTAGAAAACTCCCAATAAGTTTCTATGTTTTGCAGATTACCCTCATCACGATGTTAGTCCACATTAAGGATCTAAATGTGTCGCCAACGCAAAATAAGGACCGATGTTGTCATATGGGGTTATTCGTAAAATGCATTACTGGGGTTTTTAGCAATTCCAATAGTTATTGAAGCCTTGGAGGTTTAGTGCGATTTTAGAAGTTATTGGTGGTTTACTACAAAATAGGGTGAGGTTCTAATAAAAACCTCCTTAGCCTAAAAACTAAAAACCATTGTGGGTCATTGGATCTATCACATCCAATGGCTGAGATTCGAGCTTATACTGCAGTGAATCCAGATTTAGTTATGGCAATAAATGCCATTATTAAAGAGTGCAATAAATTTGTCTGCCATTAAAGAGTGTAATAAATATCATTATTATTTAAAAAACAAACACCTCACATAATTGAATCTGGATTCACTGCAATAAATGTCATTATTCTTCAAAAAACAAACACCTCACATAACTGAATCTGGATTCACTGTAGTGAATCGAGATTCGTGTCTTCGTTTTTTCAACTGGAAATCCTCACCCTATATATGAGTGAATCTAGATTCACTGTAGTGAATCTAGATTCACTGTAGTGAATCTCGATTCACTGCAGTGAATCCAGATTCAGTTATGTGAGGTGTTTGTTTTTTTGAAGAATACTGAATCTGGATTCACTGCAATGAATCGAGATTCACTATAGTGAATCTAGATTCACTCATATATAGTGTGAGGATTTCCAGTTGAAAAAACGAAGACATGTATGAGTGAATCTCGATTCACTGCCGTGAATCCAAATTCAGTTATGTGAGGTGTTTGTTTTTTGAAGAATAATGGCATTTATTGCACTCTTTAATGGCAGACAAATTTATTACATTCTTTAATAATGATATTTATTGCCATAACTGAATCTGGATTCACTGCAGTATAAGCTCTAATCTCAGCCATTGGATGAGATAGATCCAATGAAAAGAACAACCTGACAACTAAAAGGCTATTCACAGTTTTTCTTCAGAAAATCCTTTTCATGCCAGAATGAACCAAATTATTTAGGATCCATCGCCACTGCACATTTTATTCTGCAATATCAAAGCTCAGATCATCCCAAAAACCAAATAAGTACAGGTAACAAAGTCTACATACCTTATTCTTCCCGTCTATATGATACTATTCTTCTTGTCCTTGACTACATTTGCTTAAAAATGATACCCCGTAACCTGAATTTGACCATTAGCAAATAATTGGGTTTGGATATTACCATCCGTATCAATGACAATATCAAACCCGATCAGAATACACACGTACACATATGTTAACCTTTAATAGCTACATACACATGTTAGGACGTCAATATTTTGTTAATATCCATTATATCCATTGCATTGATTGTACATCCAGAGACAATGCACCAATTGTGGTATCTGAATCCGGATCCAAAACCCGATATTCATAGTGAATATGGGTTTGAAATCTAAAGGGATCCTACCCATTTCACACCCTTCCTTTGTCCTCAATCGTTCCCTCCACCCTTTATTTAACTTTTCTTTCTCTGAACCTCCTTATAAGTTTTCCTCCGCCTAGAACTCCCATCAAATGAACCCTCAATCAAACAAAATCCATCAAAAAATGGCGAGATACACTCCAGCCAATAGCAGAGACCTAAAGACCCTCCTCAATCAAGACGATCCCAAAGCTCGTCGCAAGGCCACAGAGCCTCCCGTTGAGAGACTAGTCCATTATCCAGGGCAAGGACTCGAGTTCGAGAACCTGTCATATAGTGTAATGAAGAAGCAAAAGAAAGATGGTGAATGGATCACTAAGGAAGCTTATCTACTCAATGACATTTCTGGACAAGCTCTCCGAGGGCAAGTCACTGCAATTCTAGGCCCTAGTGGTGCTGGAAAGTCCACGTTTCTTGATGCGTTGGCGGGAAGAATCGCTCGTGGGAGCCTCGAGGGTTCTGTCTGTGTCGATGGTCGACCAGTGAGTTAGTTTTTGTTGAGTCATGAATTTTTTTTAGCTTTTGTAAAATCCTTGTTGACTGATAAATTTGGTGGTAGGTAACGGCGAGCTATATGAAGAAGGTGTCTTCGTATGTGATGCAGGATGATCAGTTGTTTCCTGTGCTGACAGTGTTTGAGACATTCATGTTTGCTGCAGAAGTGAGACTGTCGCCTTCGATTTCGAAGTCTGAGAAGAAACGTCGGGTTTGGGAGCTATTAGAACAACTTGGTTTACAGGTTTGATTTCAATTGTATGGGCCTGTTTTGTTGCAATTTTGCCTGTTCAAACAATCAGAGAATCTTGAATATTGCAATTCTTAAATTCCCTGTTCAAACATAGTAGAAGTACAGTATCTGAAGTATTTACTGATCAGAAACAAATAACTGATCAGAAACAAATAAACATTCTCAAATGTTATTTGAACTGATGTTTTTGGCAGACTGATCAAAACCCAATATATCAGATCAAATTCAGTGAATTCAAATTTACTAAATCAGATAAATTTGATGCCTGTAAATCTGAGATACTTAAAATGAACAGACAACGGCACACACATACATTGGAGATGAAGGCAGACGAGGAGTATCAGGAGGCGAACGCAGGAGGGTATCAATTGGTATCGACATTATACACAAACCCTCACTATTATTCCTCGACGAGCCAACATCTGGCCTCGACTCAACCAGTGCTTACAGTGTAGTCGAGAAAGTTAAAGACATAGCGAGAGGAGGTAGCATCGTTCTCATGACCATCCACCAACCTTCCTTCAGAATCCAAACGCTTCTCGATCGAATCACTGTACTTGCAAGGTAAAATCCTGATAAAAATACTAAAAACTTGTGCTAAATTTCAAACTAATGCTTTTCCCTCCAAAATTTGAATTCAGAGGGAGATTGATATTCTTAGGGAGTCCAACCGCACTCCCATCGTATCTCGCTGGCTTCGGTCGCCCAGTTCCAGAAGGCGAAAACAGCATGGAGTACCTCCTCGATGTTGTTAAGGAGTATGATGAATCTACCCTCGGTCTCGGTCTCGAGCCTCTAGTCCTCTACCAAAGAGATGGCCTAAAACCTAACCAAGCTGCAAGAACTCCGATCCCAAAGACTCCCAAGACTCCTCATCAAAAATCCCGCCATATTCCCCTCCGTAGCCAAAACTTCTCCTCTACTGGCGGTCTCACCCCATACCAAACAGACTACAACTCCTACGTTGAACATGATCTCGATGGCGAAGATGAAGATGAGTTTGATAACTCCTTAGAGAGAAAAGCACAAACTCCACTGCCCAGCGGAGTTTACCCAAGACTCGCGTCGCAATTCTACAAAGATTTCTCCGTTTGGATATACAACGGCGTAAAAGGCACGCCTCATCGTCGACCGTCGTGGACTCCGGCTCGAACACCCAGCCGAACTCCAGCAAAGACACCGGCCTACTTCCGACCCCAATTCACCACAACACCACAAGCATTTGCTCCCCAAACTCCGGCGTTCACTCCGCAAGTGATGCCTCCTCCGCCGCAAGCTCTCGACGACGATCACTCCGACGAAGCAAAATTCACGAATCCGTGGCACCGGGAGGTGTGGGTTCTCTCCTGGCGAACGATGCTCAACGTTGTGCGCACGCCCGAGCTCTTCCTCTCTCGAGAGATCGTTCTCACCGTCATGGCATTAATTCTCTCCTCCCTTTTTCACAACCTCCACGCCCACAACTTCACCACCGTAAACCGCCTCCTCAACTTCTACATCTTCGCCGTATGCCTCGTTTTCTTTTCCTCCAATGACGCCGTCCCCACGTTCATCCAAGAACGCTTCATCTTCATCCGCGAGACCTCCCACAATGCATACCGCGCCTCCTCCTATGTCATCTCCTCACTCATCGTCTACCTCCCCTTCTTCGCAGTCCAAGGACTAACATTCGCGGCGATCACCAAGCTCTGGCTAAAGCTCAATAGTAGCCTCCTCTACTTCTGGCTGATCCTCTACGCGTCGCTCATCACCACCAATGCATACGTGATGCTCGTCAGCGCACTAGTGCCAAGCTACATCACGGGCTATGCTGTGGTCATCGCCACCACCGCGCTCTTCTTCTTGACGTGCGGTTTTTTCCTGAAACGGGCTCAGATACCGATATACTGGAGGTGGCTGCACTACATATCGGCGATCAAGTACCCGTTTGAGGCATTGCTGACGAACGAGTTCAAAACCGACACTTGCTATTTCGGAAGCCCGAGCGAGTTGTCGCCGGGGCCGTTGGGGGAGATCAAGCTCAGCAAGCTTCATACTAAGAACGTGACATGCCCGTTGATAGGAGAGGATGTGCTGTCGAGTATGGGGATTCAAATGGAGAGCGTGTGGGAGGATATTGCGATATTGCTGGCTTGGGGAGTGCTCTACAGGTTGTTCTTTTACATGGTGCTTAGATTCTATTCAAAGAATGAGAGGAAGTAAATGAACTTGTGACATTGTTCATGAATTGTGCTTTTATTTGTCTGAAATGATGAGTAAAATGCCCGAGAGAGAAGTTATGTAGAAATTGTTGCTAGCAAGAATTCAGTAAGTTTGTGTGAAGAATATGCAACTATATTGACTATCCATAGCACATCTCATCAAGCACTAAACCTATGACTATCTACAGCATTGTTCGACGTTATTGGTAAGCTATCTGATTCTGTTCTTTATCAATGAGCATTAATTCCAAGTATAATTATTGATTAAGACTAACATAGCTCAGTTCATTGGAAAGATGCACCTTTGAGGAATGGAAATATTTAGTATGATATGATTAATAAAAGGACTCTTTCAACAATTTTGGAGAGAAACTAAAAGGCAAGTCACCAAAGATGTTGCCACAAATTGGCATTTGCAAAGAAGCCAGTTTACCTGAATTAGAATACCGGCTATAGCTTTGGAATCAACGTGAATGTAAGGAGCAACAACATTGATTCAGCCCAAACAATAAAAAAAATGTTGCTGTCTCATTGTAGACTCCTACAAACGCAGCGGATACTCCAAAGCAGCAGAGTTGTTTTTAAGACAGATTCACATTTCATTAATGCCTCGGGGACCCAAATAGGGGACCCAATGCATGGGACAAGTGAGGTGTCACCATCCGGTTGTATGATGTACTATTCATGAACAATACATCATGCAACCGGATGATGACACCTCACATGTCCCATGCCTTCGGTCCCCTATTTGGGTCCTTGTAGCAACACCCTTCGCATTTAGGTACAAAATTCTCACATTTTCACAGCACTTGCATACCCCGGTTACGTTACGTCACGCGAATGTGAGAATTTTGTCCCAAAATTTCGCATGTGACACGAACAAACTAATTTTTGAACTTTTGAAAACTTATTATAATTCTATTTTAAAATATAACCGGCATGGGCTTAAAATAAAATTAGAGTATGTTTAACAGTAATTCAACAAATATAAATGGCTAAAAAGTTACAAAATTAGCTTGTGTGTCATACCCAGGGAAAATTCGAAACAAAATTCTCGCATTTGCATAATATAAACGGTAGAAGGTGCAACGTTTAGAAACCTCTGCGTATGTAAGTACTGTCAAAAAAGACAAGCGATGGTATATAAGTGCTAATGAGCCTTATTTGAAGCTTACTTTAACCCTGGCATGGCACTTAAATTGGATTTGGTCAAGGCCAATTGATGGGCCGATATAAATCAGAACATAACTTGGCCCAAAGTCCCATATGAAGCCTGCTAGACACCGCCAACTATTGTCGCGACTAGCTATAGATCTGGGCTTGGTTTGACCCACGACCACTGGCCCAACCATGTTTTGCTTAAAATCACAAAATACAGAACAAGTTAAAGGAAATTATCATGGATTTGAAAACTATTCCGTAGGTAAAAATGACGACTGTAATTATTTATAGAGGAGCAGGTAAATGCAACTATATATATTTCTCTTTCAGATTAGTAAAAACACATCAATATTTGTGTTTTTTTTTTCACTTTCAGTATTCCAATCACACGTACTGCAGCAACCAATTAGAAAATTAGCTGGTTACCTACACTTAAACAAGAGCATGTAAAAAAGAATCAAGTTGCTTCTATTAATGCTGCGACAGAGAAAGAAGGGGAAGGACAAATATTTCATAGACAAGTGAAGATGAAATAAAAGTCTCAAAAACTCGGCCGAAAGCCTAACAGTACTTCAACAAAATGACTACACGTCTCCACTCCGTTTGCCCCTCGTCTCTTTCCTTCAACGAACACCTCTAATTTCTGAGGTTATTTGCGTGAGCCCGGTGACGTTAACCAGCGTGATGGGAATCCCTCCGCCTTCACACACAATTTTCTTCGACTCATTAATTCCGAAATTATAATATTCTGGCCGTTATTCGCTGCAGATTTCCTTCGGGTATCAGTTATGTGGCTGCTCTCAAATTTTGCGGAACTCCCCTTTCAGAGTGCGCTTTCCCATCTCCTTTCGCGTCGCAAACGATTTTATTCGATTCTCTCATGAAAACATGCACAAATGTAGGCATCCATCAGGGTCCTAATCCTTCCTCAGATAGCATCAAAATCACCTAACAGCTATGAAAATGTGATAGCTCTCGGGTTTGCCCCTAGGTATCGCGTGAGCTTGTAAACATTTACAGTTAGATATTCTGAACTTGAAAGGTCTACAAGCATTTGAATCTCCGAATCATGACTAGGGACTTTTGCATTGTTTCAGGCATCTGAAGCTGTAATTATTTTGTATATGCTAAACTATCGATATCTTATGAAAGATATTTTGCTGACCTGAATTTGTTGTACAGTTAGATATTCTAAACTATCAAGCATGGACGCTCCAATCTTGCGGCCGTATCGTGTGCGTCATCATATGGAGACATTATTATTTTGTGTATTTTCCAGAATTTTTTTCGTGCGTCCCCCGCAATACTTTTTCATTGAGTCACTATTTTTTTTATGTGTGTTTTTCAATTTTATAGTTTTATGGGAGACTGTATCTGACCCGATATTTTCCATCGTACCATGTTTTTATGTTTATTTTTCGGAATTTGTTGTACGGGAGACACGGATACTTTTTTATCGTCTTATTATATTTCGAGCGTTTTCAATGCTGATAATATTCGTTTCATCATCACCGTTTTATGTTCATTTTCCCGAATTTATCATGCGCCCGACATTGTATTTTTCTTATTGTGCCATTGCTTTTGCGTATTTTTCAAAGTCTATGGTGTACGTGGTGTCACATTTTATGCTGGTGCCTACTATATTCATGGAACATCTCTCGGTTTAAGTATGAATGGAATATTTTACTCACCTTTACTTTTTTATTTCCTACTTAATATTTTATATACAGTATTATCGCCTATAGTATTTTCTTACAATTTTTTTATCTTTGATTAGATTCTTTTTACTAACCATAATATCTGAATATTCTTCCTGTTGTGCTCTGATACCACTTGTTATGCGCGGCGGAAGCCAAAACCAAATCGATGTGCTTCGAGAGACCAAATCAAACAAACGCCGAGAGAAGGCCAAACAATGCAAACTAACGGCACAAACTCAAACAACCAATTTTAACGTGATTCAGCAAGTTGCCTACGTCCACGGGGCAAGAAGGGGATGAGGTTTTCACTAATAAAGAAGAATAGTACAAACTGAGATTACAAAATCACACAAACTCACCAATTAATCTCACCAACAAAGCTCTAATTCTCTCCAAACAAAACCCTAACCAATAGCTCAGAAAATACATCTTTTCTGTGCTCCAAATATCTAATTCTCTCCAAACAAAACCCTAACCAATAGCTCAGAAAATACATCTTTTCTGTGCTCCAAATATCTCATTCGCTGCTCCCCAAACCTAAAACGTGTTCCTATATATATATAGAAATCCTAAAACCAAAAACATACTAGAAATTCTAAAACCAAAATCAAAACAGATTAGGAATCCTAATAACTGTTACCAAAACAGATTAGGAATCCCAATAACCTGTTACCAAAATAAATTAGAAAATATATTAGGAACTTGCTAATCAACAATTCTCCACCTCGACGAAGTGTTTACAAAACTGAGCCGACACCAATACCAAACAAACGTCCCACTTATTGCGTCCAGTACGAAGTAGAACAAATCCACGACAACAGACTCAATCCACAACAAGTCAAGACTCAAACGAGAATGCGAACAAACTCCAAATGTCGGTATCAACTCCACCAAACCGACTGCATCATAAATGACTGCTTACATATCTTCTTGTTCAAGGAATCAAGCCTTCACGTAGTTCACCCAACAGTCTCCAAAGACCCTCAATCAAATAGAAGAGTTCTCAACCCTTCTCCAACATCACCAACGGATCTGTAGCTGATAGTTTCTCTCAATGGCCCCAAAGTGAAATAATCCAAACACCTCCACCGGAGGTGAACCAATGGCCATAACCAAATGCAAACTATGTCCACCAGTTGCACTCGAATCAACCAACACATCATCTGCATACAAATTATCATGATCCCCAAACTATGTTACCTCAGCTGGAATCCCAAACGATGCAGTATGATCTGAAGTATGTGGAGTAATTTGCATCCAACGTGAAGTAGCATCACTCTTCACCCGTTGTGATATCCGAACGATCTGATCAACACTCTCCACCTACTGAGAGTCGAATGTGACATACCTGCTCAGAACCAAATCAGAGTCTCCCAACTGATAACCAAACGAGCCTTCGATTCCCAAATATGCAATCAGATCAAATCTCACATCCTCGATGTGACCAAGTACTAGGCAACCAAATATCCGACGCAACCTAAAATCTGAAGCAGCTCCACCAAATTCAAAATCTCTAAACGTAGCAATCGACAACCTATGACTAAGATGACCCAAATATGTCGAAGCTCCAAAACTCTTCTACAATCCAATGTTCGACATCAAATGTCGATCCTCCTCCAGAAATGAACGACCAATTAAAAATATCATCTCATCTCGTTGCCCCAATGTTTCCTCTCTAATGAAGTATCTCTAACTGCCATGAGCTCGGCACAAACGCAAGAAAGGACCCCTACCAGAACTAGAACGACGGGTTACCCTTCTGCCAATATACTTCCTCCATCTGTTGTTGACTTCTAGGATTTTATACCAACGGGACTTGGTTGCAACCACCGATGCCTAGAACAGTCCCAACTAAGGAAACCAAATACTGATTACCTCCCAATAATGCCTCCTTGGAAGGTCCCCAATGCCTGAATGAACACCACCTAGAAGACCTCTCAATCGTCGAATAAAAATGCTAAACTCCACCTCGGTCTCCTTGCTCATACCAATGTGCTCAAAGGACTTTAATATGCAGGTCAAGGCACTTCTCAATAATCCAATATCCCAGCCTCAACTCCTTTTTTCTCGACCATCTATCTCAAAGCACCAACAAACCAAATACGGAACAAACGAAGAATAGATCCAAACTAGTAAAGAAGAGATTGTTACCTCCAATTAAAACCTTAATAAGAGCCTTCGAAAGATCTCACCCCACACGACAGAAACGAGATCTACAAATAAAAAAAATCCCACATTTATCACCAACTGAAGCCCTAGACGAACTTCCAAAATGATCTACTCCTCCAATTAGCTCAAGCGTAACCTGGCTCTGATACCACTTGTTGAGCTTTGGTACCACTTGTTGTGCGCGATGGCCAAATTGTTGTGCTTCGAGTAACCAAACCAAAACGTCCAGATAGAAGGCTAAACAATCCAAGATGACGACACAAACTCAAACAACCAATTTTAACGTGGTTCAACAAGTTGCCTACGTCCACGGGGCAAGAAGGATAAAGTTTTCACTAATAGAGAAGAAGAGTATAAACATAGATTACAAAATCACACAAACTCACCAATTAATCTCACCAACAAAGCTCTAATTCTCTTCAAACAAAACCATAATCAATGGCTCAAAAAATATCACTTTTCTGTGCTCCAAATATCCCATTCGCCGCTCCCCAAATCTAAAACGTGTTCCTATATATATAGAAATCCTAAAACCAAAAACATAATAGAAATTCTAAAACCAAAATCAAAACAGATTAGGAATCTTAATAACCTGTTACCAAAACAGATTAGGAATCCCAATAACCTGTTACCAAAATAAATTAGGAAACATATTAGGAACTTCTATTCAACACTTCCATATTCTCAGAGGACCACAGATTACCTCTGTCAATTTTTTTCCTGCTTTCATAGTTTACAACCTCAATTTTTCACAGAGAGATGCAAAGAAGTTCAGTAATCTAATACACTAAGGCCAATACTAGTCAAATCAACCATACTAAAGGGCGCACACTAGACAAAAGCTATTTATGAGAGAGATTTCAACTTCTACATTGATGTATTGATCAAGAATTTACATCACCAAATATTACTTTTCTCTGGATTATAAACTTAATAGTTCGTTATTTTATTTGTTTCAGACTATTAATTTGAGGTACTACTCCTGTAGCATTAATTCAGAAGTATCAAATTTCCCTCAGATCAACGGAACACGCTCAGTTACATTCAGCCCACAACAGCAGTAAGCAGAGAAGGTAACATCAAAATACAGTTCAACTATTTGACTATTAATATTAAACAATATATGATATAATGAAAATTTTAGGCCAAATATTTCGGCCAAGTGTTTCAGGAGGAACTTATGTTAGGAATTGAAAGGCTCCTGTCACTTTTTTCAACATATATCACATATACTTCTATAACAACCTCTCTTCCCTGAGATGCAACAACCTGAATGAATGGAAAATTGGTACAATATGGAATGAGAGAATGTGCTGCTCCGTAGCAATAACCTTACATTTGTAATTTGGTGCTTGGAGAGTCCCTGACGTCAAGGCTTTCCTTGGGCTGAACAAAACACCATGACTCTTCTTGATTGCTCGAAAGAGGGGGATCAGCTGACGAGCATTTGCTCGAGATCTTGGCAGGAACCTCGAAGCCAGTAGAGTTTTCAGGTGATTTATTGGCAGAAGAGTAAGGCATGGCATTGGTTACTCTGCAAGGAGAGAAGAAAAATCATAAATATGGGAAGGAAATAAAACTACAGATAAATTCTGTCAAGTGTAAATATCAGTTAATATAATCACAAAAGAAAGGACCTATTATGCATAGGAAGGATTAGTGGAAGTAATAAAAGGAATGGAATTGGAGATGATATTTCATAGTTTCTGTTTATGAAGCTAAACATCTTTGGGAAAAAAAACCCAAGCTCAATTAGACATTCTATAATATGCATAGGGTATACCAACTTGCACACATGTCTAGCTCGACCTTATTCTTTCTAAAGTTAATATCTATGTTTTTTCCTTCCTACATATATAAAAATAAAGGGAAGATATCTATTTCTCTCTTTGACTGTCGTTTCTGTTTCCAAATCCTCCACATCATTTGCTTTGCCGCCAAATGAAGAATTAATTATGTATATTTCCTACAGTACTCATGGCAAGTAGAAGTGCAAAAAAAAAAAGTCAATTCTTATTTATCTTTCATAGAAAACTTGTCTATTTGCTTATCCTTTTCGGATAGAGAAACTATGGAGGTAAAGGACCACAAGGCTTGGAGCCGTTTTTTCTTAGTATTCCTACTTGAAAATATTGAAAACAAAACAAAAGAGCCGTCTTTTCCTTTCTTCCAGATTCTCTTTCTTTTCCATCACTCTCCATACGTTACGCCAAACCATTAATGCCAACGAAACTCCTAATGTGATGCTAGACATGATCAAATATCTCTGAATCTGGCCCATGGTTCTTCACAAAAGACATACTCTCAAAGAAGAGTGTCTGATACATGTAAAACTATTTAAATGGTTAAGTGGAATTTGGGACCATGAGCCATACCTTTCTTTTCGCTTCTCCAAGAATCTAGCCAATGATGCCTTTCTAGCCTGAGGCACAGCTGCATTAAAAAGACCGATAATTTATCAGAAATTATAATAGTTAATAGTACTTACAAAGCAAGTAGCTAATGATTACCATCTACATTAGAAATATACATCAAAACCGAAGATTCCTCATATTTCCCCAAGAACACAAAGCTAGGTCCTCCATGAAAATTTCTCTTGAAAAGAACAACAAAATACCTCTTGGTAGCATACTTGCCGGGGTGTTCATAGCTTTGGAAGGCTCCTGCTGGCTAATACTAGTGGGCACTTGGCCCAAATTTTTTGCCCCTGCCACATCATCAACGGTGCTAGAACTGCTCCTTGATTGAGATCCTACGTGAGAAGTCGGAGATACAGTTGGGTTCTGTGTCTGCATTTGAGCCAAGGAATGGCTTGCATTCAAACCACTAACTCCTATCACCTTAGGAATTGGAGAAGAAACGGGAGTTTCGGGTCTTTGATTTGGAGCATCTGAAGCTCTTTTGCATGATCTACTCGCCATTAACATGATTGCTTGCGCCTAAAGAATGAAAATTTTGGAATTCAATTTAAAATGTCAGCCATTCGATCTCCAATTATATTCACTTGACAGTATCAAATAAATACCTTTTCTAGTGGGACATCATCAAAAACATTCACGGAACCTCCATAGAAGATTGTCAATTGTGAGGAGTTAATAGGCTTTGAAACGTTCCTATATATAATAAGAAAGAAAAAGGGTTAACATTCAATCATATTAGGAAGTCCCATAGACAAATTTAATGGTTAATTGCGGATAGACCCTTTTCTACTATCACCCAATTGTGGATATATCCCTTATAGTTCTATCGTTGCAGATAGACCCCCTGGACAAATTTTTTTGACCCTTTTACCCTCTGAGAAAGAGAAAATTGTTTTGTTGGAGGAATAGAACTTCTGAAGGTAGATGAGAGAAAAAATTTTCACTCAGGGGGGTCTATCCAAAATTGGGCTACAGTGCAAGGGGTCTATCTGCATTTAACCCTAAATTTAAATACTGTTAAGCTATAGATTTTACCTTGGAACGGAAGTTCCAACACCAGAACCAACAACATTGGGATTATTAGCTGTAAATCCTCCATAAGACTGTTGTTTAAAACTGGTGGCCGGGAAATTGGGAACACTTGAAGAACCATGGAACTTTAAGAAAGAGCTGCTCATGGAAACAGGAACTGATGGGTGCGAAACCACATGATGACTCGAAGCTCCAAAAGTATCGGCAGTTTGAGGTTGATAAGCATGCGATGGGAACTGGTGGGCACTTTGCCTATCAAGACTGAAACTTCTCTACAAGTACGAAATATTTTGAAAGAAAAAAAAAATTGAATTCCCAATTCCATATTCTAAAATCAAAATAAAGAATTATGTGAAAATTACAGAAACTCCCTCTAAGGTTCGTAGGAATGACAAAACCACCTTAAGTATTCAACCTAACACTTTTACCCTGTCCTCTTAATTTTGCCATCAAACCTGGTCATATGGATATCATGTGACCCGCTTAATTGCAAAAATGCTCCTATCTCTTTTCTTAGGGGAAAGAAAAAAGCATTGTTCTTTTCGTGAGGGAAGAAACAAGGGTGTTTTTGTCACTAAAGGATCACAGCGAGTTTTAAAATTTTCATTCATGTAAACCTTAGGGTTTTGTCATGTTCCCTAAATTATTCAATAAAACATTATTTTATCGTAGATCAAGATTAGTTGGTTGGTGGGCCAAACCTGAGGAGCTTCCTTTGAGGGAGAGGCTCTGTAACTAGAATCAAAGGGAACTTTAGTAACAGTCGGCTGATACCCCGGTGAAGAGAGATGATCAAATGCAGCTTTTCTCGACTTCTCGTCAGGCACAGTCCTAAAAGACATGAGATGCTGAAAAGCAGAAATTTTGTTTGAGAAAGGCCACTGCACAGCTTGACCTCCTACAAAACCTGCATGTTTGTATAAAAGCATAGAATTAGTACAATAAAGTCTGTAAAGAATATTAAAATTATTCAAAATGTTGAGTAGATTTGAAATACTTCAAACTTTTATCCAGTCTTTCTTTCCCAATAACGACCATTTATATTATCGTGCAACGCTTTACCAAGACACAAACAACAAATGCCTTAGATCGAAACCTAGACTCACATAACGGTATCAAATTTTTTAATCCACTTAAATCTGTGTCTGTGGGATTTGAACCTAGTTGCTCAGATACTCTACACCAGAACTCTGAAGTTGAAATGAGGGTTGAGAGCTATAGATTTTATATTCTACAGGTCTGTAACTTGGTAAGATAAATAGAGGAAAAGGTTGCAGTAGCCTGCTCTGGAAGTTTAAAATTTTCTTTTCACGGCTTTTGGAAAGAAATCGGAAAGTCTCCAGTACCAAAGCCTACTACATAAGATAAATTTTTCTCCTAGATTCCGGTATTCAATGTAACCAAACAAGAATTTTATAAAGTCTCTAAAAGCAAGAGAATTGTAATTATTTGGTGAAAATGAGAAAATATGCAAACCCAAAGTTAGCTTCCAGGCAAGCTGGAACAGTCCATTCTGCTTGCAGGCATAAAATATTCACATATTTTAAGAACAACATTTTTTCCTATTGTTGTTTAAACCACTGATTTGCTGGAACACGATGCTAAATATGTTGCACAGGGAACTTTTTTTTTTAATTTTCCATTTCAATAGATTACTTACACCAAAACCAATTCATGTGAAAAACACACTTAACGTTCTCGGATGTGAACATTTTTAGTTTCAATGGACAAGCACAAGCAACATAAATACCTGTTGTGTCGTATATGTAATTAAAATAGATATTAGAAGGGCTTCAAATAATACGATTCATAGTTTGGAGAATCCAGGTCTAATTTTAGCAAGAAATAAATAATTCAAAATTCAAGAGAATCCAGGTCTAATTTTTGCAAGAGGTAAATAGTTCAAAATTCAAATAGCTGATTCATCTAAATTTAATGAAGAAAATTACACAAACAAAATACGTGGGGATAAAAGCAGTGCAATTTATAGATGAAGCAAATTGCTCACAACTTACGTAACACAATCCAAACTAATTTACGAGAACTGAAAAGCCAACCATAAACACATAATTTTCTTATATTAGGATAGGAATTCATTTCAGGGGCACTTTGGGAAAACTAGTACATGCAGTGCTACAGATATTTGCAGACTGACAAAAACAGATGGAAACAACCTTACAAAGACACCAGACCCTAACCTAACGATTGGACGAATTTAGCAACAAACACGTGAGCAGGAATAAACACAATCAACAAAAAATAAATCGAACAGACAGGAAACTCATATAACTTCTAACTAGAAAATAACTCAAAACCATTAATCTAAACAACTATCGAACATAAAACCCGCAACAAAGTTCAATCCACAAATAGCACCATAAAATCCATACACACCCTTATAAAATTAAAAACAGGTATGAACTAAATAAGAACTACAGCTGGACTGCTGTTGATGGTATCGAACACGCGGATGACACGAATCCAAGGATTCACCTTGCAAGTTAAAATTTTGATGGATCGTATTTATGCCATGAGCTCCTAACCTACAAGAGGAATTGTTGAACTCTAGATTGATAATATCTACAAGAGCAGCTAAGCTCACTTCAGCAATAAAAACCATAAACATAAATACTATCAGTAAATACTGAAAATTATCAAAAACTATCAGATACCCAACAATCATAAACCACGACAACAAACATTAAAAACCCATATTCTTTTTACTAAAAATCAATCAATTAAATACTCTGCAAAGATAGACAACCCAAGAATTAAACACACTTAACCAACAACATCAAAAAAAAAAAAACAAATTTTCTCAATTCTAACGAGATAAAAATCAGACCTGAATCCTGGCGGCTGCCTCTGCCCTCTCCTCCTGAATCTTTACCACTTAATCCCAGAAAGTCCCTCTCCATGGCTATCTATCTACCCAAAATGCCCCCAAGTTCAAAAAATTTGTTCCCTGAATACCCCTGTTCTCTACAAGCATCCCCACCTTAAAACACTACTCTCGGTTCGTCTCCTCTACCACCAGCAACCAAAGATTTCCATTCAAAGCTCACTGTTTTTCTCTGTTTCCTCTTTTGAGTTTATTTTCTCCCTAATTTTTTAACTTTGTTTTATTGGACCAAAAAAAATGAACCCAACAAAAAGAACCGACTCCGGAATTGGGTTTTATTATATTCCAGCGTGTGGGGCCCGGGTCGATCACCTGCGGATTTAACCGGCTGGGCCGGTGAAAACAACTGGCTAGACCGGTGGTGGAGCACGTGCGCTCGAAGCGATATATTCTCCCTTGCGAGAGCATGACTTCTTTCACAGCGCGCAGTCACGGAACGTGCTGGGCACGAGCAGAAACAATTAGTTGGTGAAAATCATGAAAAAAGATTTCATGATGAATCCTTTGCATGGGAATCATAAAGAGGGAGAAAGGGTGTATCTGCAATAACATTTATAACATTCTAATTTATGCTGTACTCATTTGTTTTACTCATGTTGATTAATAGTTTCTTTTATTAAACACATGTTGGTTTATAGTTAGTCCATCGATTTTTTCCCCTTCAATTTCATAAACATTCTAGAGTCTGATATACTTAGAGAATCACTTTTTCATTTTAACCATTTTAATTTAAGGAAAAATTGTGTCCAGACCCCAAAAGTGGGAACTTCATGTGACAAGCCCCCTCGTATTTCGGCCCATGTGTATTAGCCCCAAATACGCACAGTATTTGTTATGGGACCCCTAACTACTCTTTTTCAGAAAAACAAAGGCGGAAGTTACGCTCTTGCCCTTCTGATGGGACTGAACTCGGTTAACGCGCCCCATCCTTATTCAAGTACTCTCTCTCTCTCTCTCTCTCTCTCTCTCTCTCTCTCTCTCTCTTCCACCTCTTCGTTGTCTCAGAAACTCGAGATTGTGTCCAATTTCTCACCGCCGTTCAACAGTTTTAGGGTTTTCGCCTGAATCATGTCGTCCAGGGAAGGATCATTTTCCGATTTCGAGGTCGACCACCGACGCGCCTCGAAAGGCCAAGACGTATCGTCTGGGCTTGAAAGCGCGGAGGAGGCGACGCAAACCCTAATGGAGATGCAAAAGGAGGCGATAGCACGTCGAGACAGCAAAAGACGACCCTCGACGGCCGAGCGTACCATCCAACCCTCCCCCGAAAAACAGTATGTTCTATGTTATCGAGAATCTGGGAAATCGACCTAATTTTGCGTAAATTCAGTTCATCTCAAAAATACCAGTTGTAGATGAGTACACATGATGTAAGTGCTGGATTGATTCCAATGTTAGTTCTAGGTTGATTCAAATGTTAGTTCTAGGTTGATTCAAATGTTAGTTCTAGATGATTCCAATGTTAGTACATTGACTTCAATGTTAGTTCTAGGACGGAGATGTAAATGTAGATTTTGTTAGTTCTAATATTAGTCCGTTAGTTCTATTGATCCTACAAATTCGAATTGTTTTTACAGGGAAAATGTTGCACCTACAGGTGCGGCCGAGTCACGAAGGCTGACCGCCAATCTTGGGGCCTATTGGAAGTTCATGAAGAAAATAGCCCCGAAGATCAATCAGTATCATAGGGATGCCTACCGCGGTTCTGTGTTTGAGCACTATATTGTATTCGGTGCTCCTGCTCCCGATCTGCCCACTCTGGAATTGCTGCTGCGCTATTATGACGGAGACAAGAGCACATTTTCCATACCGGATTCAAATAGCGGGGCTGTTAGAAAGGTAAAATTTGATCTGCAATGGGTCCACAACCACACTCATTTTCCTATGAATGGTGAAGTTGTAAGTAACAATCGGGACTCAAACAGCAGAATATGGATGAAATACTTTGCAAATCTTTACATTTCTGAAGAAGGCAAGAGGTCGAAAAAACCAGAAACCTCCCAGCGCAAACACCTCGAAGGGCATCTGGAACGGTTAGTGGAATCAACAGAAACGGGGGATATCCAGGAATTTGTTTTGCTACAAATCCTGTACCAATGCTCTATGATATGGAGCCCCAGAGCAGGGGAAGGTATCCCTAGACCCGTACTCAGATATCTGGATAGCATTGAGAGGGTCAAGTCTGTTGCATGGGCCCGGTTCTTTTATGATGAAATTATCAGGGGCATTGGTGTTGCGCTGGAGGGAAAGAAGGAGCGAAAGAAGGCATATGTCCCAGGTTGCATGACACTACTATGTGTAAGTTTCATAATTTTACCTATATTATTTCATTCTAGTTCTGTCTTATTCCTAGCTTGTTGTAAATTAGGTTATGTTATTTCTATCTTATTTTATGTTAGTTCTACTATACAACACGTTATTTATGTTGTACAACATGTTATTCTACAACATGTTAGTTCTATTGACTGTTTTGTTAGTTCTATTGACTGTTTTGTTAGTTCTATTGACTGATTAACTGTTTTGTTAGTTCTAATGACTGTTTTGTTAGTTCTATTGACTGTTTTGTTAGTTCTATTGACTGTTTTGTTAGTTCTATTGACTAATTAACTGTTTTGTTAGTTCTAATGACTGTTTTGTTAGTTCTATTGACTGTTTTGTTAGTTCTAATAAGAGTTAGTTCTGAATGAGTACCATGTTAGTTCTATTGACTGTTTTGTTAGTTCTATTGACTGTTTTGTTAGTTCTAATGACTGTTTTGTTAGTTCTAATGACTGTTTTGTTAGTTCTATTGACTGTTTTGTTAGTTCTAATGAGAGTTAGTTCTGATAGGTACCATGTTAGATCTATTTGCTGTTCTGATGAGAGTTATTTCTGTACAGTGTCATGCTAGCTCTAATGTGTAGCATGTTAGTTCTATTTGTTTACGTGTTAGTTCTAATGTTAGTTCTAATGTGCAGCATGTTAGTTCTAAGTGACTGTTTTGTTAGTTCTACTATCTGTTTTGTTAGTTCTATTGACTGTTTTGTTAGTTCTAATGAGAGTTAGTTCTGATAGGTACCAAGTTAGATCTATATGCTGTTCTGATGAGAGTTATTTCTGTACAGTGTCATGCTAGCTCTAATGTGTAGCATGTTAGTTCTATTTGTTTACGTGTTAGTTCTAATGTTAGTTCTAATGTACAACATGTTAGTTCTAAGTGACTGTTTTGTTAGTTCTACTATCTGTTTTGTTAGTTCTATTGACTGTTTTGTTAGTTCTAAAGAGAGTTAGTTCTGATAGGTACCATGTTAGATCTATTTGCTGTTCTGATTAGTGTTAGTTCTGTACAGTGTCATGCTAGGTCTAATGTGTAGCATGTTAGTTCTTGAGCATATTTCAGTTGTGTGAGTTCTAAATTATGCCTTGCTATTCTAGTATATACCATGTTAGTATGTTAGTTCTAAAACTGTTCTATTATTAACTTAAATGCGGAATATATTTGCTACAGCTATGGTACTACGAGATGACTGGCATTAAAAAATATGGTCTCGTAGATAGCTCCAAACCCCCAATGACAAATTGGGCACCGGATAGCATGAAAGTCCCATCTATGAAGGTGGTGACTATTACGGAGAAGGCTAAGGCAGCGTCAATAGCATTTGTCCACAGGCAAATTGAGGAAGTGTCTCCTCCTCTAGTTGAGCAGGCGTTCCCCGCTGCACAGAGGAGAAAAGTTGCGCATCATAAGCGCGAGACAAAGAGGAGGAAGGCTAGCCAGGAGAAAACGCCTGGGAACTTCTCTGTAGGCTACGTACGTATCCCCTTATGTTAAGTCTTACTCATTTTACAATAACTAAAAACAATATCCTAATTATAATCTCTTATTAATATCAGACCATGGCAAAGCATATGGACGTTTTTGACAATGAGGAGGAGATCAAATGTCTTCCCATAGATCAGCAACTTACATTGTGGAGAAATTCTGCTAAATTTCTCAAAAGATTGCTGGATGACACAAAGCAGACCAAAGAATTTATGATTGAGATCAACAGGCTGAACAGGATAATTGAAGATTTGAGAAGACATGATAAGATTGCAAATGGAAAAAGGAAGAAGCGGCGGGTAAATCAAGAGGAACAGAGGTCTAAACCGAGCAGTGTATATAGTGAAGACCCAAACACGCAGCTTAATGTACATAAGAATGTAGAAGAGGATGTTAAGCATCATGTTGACGTTGTTCAAAGAGAGGAGGAGGATATTGTAGAAGAGCGTAATGAAGAGGAGCATATTGCAGACGAGGTTGATGTAGATATCAAAGTTTTTGCAGAAGAACCTACTGATTTTGCAGATAAGAAGGAGGATATTGTAGATAAGGGGGAAGAGGCTTCTGATAAGTTGGGTGATTTGCTGGTTGATTTAAATGTAGATAGTAAGGTTGATGCGAAAGAAGATAGTGAGGCTGAGGAACATGTACATATGAAAGAGGAACATGAGAATAGGGACGACGATCATGTTGAACATGCACAGGTTATTGTAGATAGCACATTAACGGATGAGAGTCATGTTGCTTCAAAGGAAGCAAGTGAGGATTTACATCTTGTGAATAGTACGCACGACGTTGACAGAATTGTAGAAGTGCTAACTGGTAATGTCGAAGAGAAAGCAATGGGTAGCCCAAAGCCACGAAGGGCAAGCAAGAGATCTAAATGGCGGAGGACCCCATATACTGAAGGAAAAAGAAAGAAAAAGCAAATGACGACTATAGATGTTTTTGAAAGTCCTGAAAAGGGGCAAAAAGTTGACACGATTATTCAATTTTTTCCGGATAATCAAATCGGCAACTGGGATGTGATGAGTTTGAAGCCGATGACTCGTGAAGAGGTAGCTCTATTGGCAGAGCTGAATACAGATATTACAGACTCGTCTTTGTTTAACATCCGCATTATCGATAGCACGGGTGCTTTCGTACATAATTTTACTATATCACCTCTAGCAGCATCCAGACTCAACAAACTTGAAAATGATTTCTTATCCAAATTCTGCTCTCAGAAGATACACATGTATGATTCAGTTGACTATTTTTATTCTTATTTGTTAAGTATTAGTTCTAATTGCAGTTAGTTCTGGGTTTCAGGAGATATAAGGTTATTGAAACGTCGAATAGCAGCATCAGCAGAGCAGATTTGTTGACTTTGCTCCGAGGTGGCCGGCTTGACGACAAGGTTAGATTATACTTCAAGGCAAAGTTGAAAATGTATGGC